GCCCCAGCACATTCAATCGTCCGGAAGTAGGGTCGCAGAGGCCCGCCCTCGCTCGTCTTGGATGGATCATCAGAGGCCACAGCCTTGGTGGTCCAGGAGCCAGTCACCTGTGGGGGAACCAATGCACTTGTCCCTTTGTCCTCCTGCCCGCCAGCCCTGCCTCCTCCCTGTCAATCCACGCAATGTCCACAAAGACCACTGTAGAGCTGCCTATCAACCATATGAAAGCAAGGTCACTCCAGCAGCACCAGGGCCAGGGATCACCTCTGCTGAGTCCACGTCTGCCCGCACTGCTGCCAGCACGAGGGCGAGGAAGAGCAGCACAGCCTTGGTCGTCATCATCTTCTTCATCACCAGTTGTTGAGACTCAGGCTGATGAGGCAGCTGCCCTCTTTTATACCGGTGCCCATTCATCACGTGGGCTGTGACTGAGCCTCTGTAAATATCTGGTTGGACGTCAATGCTTGCCCATCACGTGGTGCTGGGGTAATCTGCAAACATCCTGGTTGGCCATTGCCAAGCAAGCCTGAGAGACAGATCCCCACTTCCTTTGGCTTGTGAGGAGGGGAAAAGTTCTGGCCATAGAGTCATGGATAGTGCTATGGAGACAGTTGTGGGCCATGTGTATGACCCCATGTATGTGTCAGTAAGGACCCACAGGGATCTATCATGGACGTCTTTCAGCCTTGTGGAACTTTCTCAAAAATTCTCCAACTTCCACATTTTGACACATTCTGAACAAGTCTGTCTCAGATTATTCTGGGAAAGTCTTTCCTTTCCCAAACATTCTTCCACAGTCTGTGTCTTTGAGAACATTCTGAATAAATCTCTGTTTTCCAGAACATTCCAAAAGAGTATTCTGGACTATTCTGGAAGATTACCTGTCTTTCTGTGACCTTGATTTGCCCCCTGGGTCCATAGCCTCCTGGTAACCTCCACGCTGACTTCCTTGTGACCAATGTTATGACCACATCAGACCAAGACTCTGCCGTAGAAAGGTCCAGAAACAATTGCAGACACTTGATCAGCTTGGGTGATGGCTGCCACACCTGATTATTGTGTGACCTTTTGGCAGAACTTGGCATCATGCACAATCCAGTGAGTGACAGTGACCTTCATGCTCTGTTGTGCCTTGCATGGGTGAATGGATCTGGTTTCTTCTTATTTTATGTCCCCCAAACACCACAGGGAACACTCATTTTTAGGTCTTCGACCTCATGAGGGCATGAGGGAATCAGGGGGACACATTGGGGGGCTGATGTGCTTGAGAGGCCACTCTTTTCTCAATTGTTACTGAAACATCCAGAACTTTCCAGGACTTTCCAGACCCCTCCCGTAACAGTTCTTAACCTTTCAGAACATTCTGGGACTTTACAGAATGTTTTAGAATCTTCCAAAACATCTCAGAACCAATCAATATTATAGAACCTAATAAAGCTTTCCAGAACCTCCCAGAACCTACCACAGTTTTCCTTAACTTCCCAGAAGTTTCCCATTCTGGAAAGGTCAGAGGTCCTTGGGGGGAAACATGGGAAGATGGAGAGGCCTGCTAGGCCATCCTTTTCCATGTCCTCAATCTTTCATGAGCATGTAGGATTTTCCAGAAGCTCCGAGAACCTTTCCTAACCTTCCAGAACATTTTGGGACTTTCCAGAAATGGTCAGAAGCTTTCTTCCAAAATATCTCAGAACTGTTCTTAATTTTACTGAACCTTATTGAGTTTAGCAGAATGTTCCAGAACCTTTCCAGAAGCTACTGAAATTTTCCTTAACTTCCCAGAAGCTTTCCATTCTGGAAAGGTTAGAGATGTCAGGCTTTGGAGAATGACTCCCGCATGTCTTGGTTCTGTTTGCTTTTGGGATTTCATGCATCTACCCATGGAGGAACAGCCTCCAGAATGTTCTCTGAGCATGTTTGTCCCCATCAGTCAGAGCCAGTCTTCTGGCATTTGTGTCTTTAATCCCTGCTGAAAGAAACGTGACTTCCCATCACCTGTCTGTCAGTATTCCCATTTGTCACAGGCTCCAGCCTCCTCAGGATGTTTATGGTTCCCAAACAACTGCTTGTCAGACACCCAGAGATAGCCAGAACCAGGTAGGTGGGTTTCTGGGTCCTGCTCAGAAAACCACCAGGAAAATTATATGAATTTTTTCTTTTATGATTTGCAGTTTCTGGCATGCAAAAGTGTACAACACTGTAGAACCTGTTAATACAGATATGGATCAAATTGTTCTGCAAAATTTACAGTTTAATATTGAAGACACATATATATTAGAAACATGAAATACCTATTTTATGAAAAATATTTTCATTTGTAGTGATAATGTAATTTCATATATATCAATATAATTCATTATATACAAATATTGATAGGAATTTAACATTCAAGTTTATGATTCTATATCTATAAATGTCAACATAATCCCAATATCCATTGAAAGGTTGAAATGATTTATTGGATTAAACATATACTTAATCATAAGAAATACATAAAATATGAAAAATATGAGTTTGAAACAATCTAGAGATCAATATATGTAAAATGGATTTTGACAGTGTTACATTCGATTTTACATGATGATATTATTTAATGTATCAATGTACATTATTAACACATATGAATATGATTCCAAGATCTGGAGGTATATTTATTAAATTCAATCTACGGATGCATAATTGAATGTAAAATATGAAAATCTAAAAATAAGTTATAATATTATTAAATATAAAAAATCTGCCATTATTGACAAAACGTATTTTAATCTAAATTTATAATGTTGTGTATATTTTTTGGTAAAAATACATGTGCAACATTATTTGAAATACAATTAATGCATAGATGAAATTAAATATCTATAAACATTGATATAATTAAGTATAAGCATCCAAAAATAAAATTAAATGTATAACATCTCTTTTTAGATTATTTGACTTCCATTGAGGAAACACAGCTGTTGAGTATAGAAAACTAGTGTAAAAGGCCTTTATTCAAGAAACTCTGCCTCAGCCCTTTCTCCCATGCAATGGAGAAGCAGAGACCCAAACGGGAGAAGTCAGGGACAAAAGGCACACAAGAGAGCATGCAGGAGGATTTAAAATCCGTCCTGAAATTGAGACCCCAATGGATTCAGCTCAAGTCCTTCATAGGTGAGGCTTGCATTTGTCAATAGGTAAACCCATTTCCATCAGGGCTTTGCTGACTTGGTGAAGCTCTGCCTCTCTACTGTCCCTGAAGTGTCTGCCCTGAGGCAAGGGTAATATGTCAGATCTGAGGCAAACTCTGCCCGTTTTCTGTAACTGCAGCATCCATTCATTCCGGTCTCTTGATTATAGGAAAAGTGGCAATGAGTTTGACCTGGCTATTTCCTGTGGAGGAGGGGCATTGTCATTACGCAAGGTCCAGAAGAGGCTCTGCGGGCTCTGGAATATAAAGGTGGAATAGCATTTGGTTGAAAGAGACCTGTAAAGCTTTGAACACTGTGATTATGAATGAAGTGAATATTGCAAGAAATGAGAGGATAAAAATCAGAAGCATCTCTCAGTTCCTATCTCTCCCATGTTTGAAATATCCTTGAGCTTGTAACCAACATTCGGGAGTACCCTGAAACCCACAGGGAATTGAGGAAGATGAGGGTGATCTTGGGCTGATGGTTGCTTAGCCTTGAAGCCTTTCAGGACTTATCTGTCAAAAGGAGCTTGTGCCATGATTGGTCAGTTCCCATTTCGTGCACGATGTTAGTTCTGAGACTATTGCCTGGTAAAACATATCCTGATTTTGCTAGCCTTGCTCAAGATCTGGGGGTCAAATAAGTCCCGATTTTTAGGATACAACCAAGAGGTGTTTAGGAATCCACTTCAGCAACAAAGTAGAGACAATGAACTGGCTAAAGAGAGAGACTTGCCCCCTGCTCCCTGGTCTAGCCTGTCCCCAAAGTGTATGACAGAATTTGGTGCAGATTCAGTCTGACTTTGTGTGTGATCACTACAGGAAAGAACCTGCTGTGCACCAGGACAGGAAAGAACATAAGGAAAATGACCTGACCAAATTAGCACTCATTTATTTTAACCCTGAATGTAAATGGATTAACCAAATCTATCAAACATCAGAGAAAAGTAGAGTGTGTCAAAAAAAATCAAACAAAACATCTATTTGTTGCCCACAGGAGACTCATTTCACCAAAAATATCAGCTGAAACTATACTTCATGGATTTTGATTTTTTTTAAAAAAATTCATTTTTGCAAAACATTTCCCTTTTCCTTAAATTCTTCACTGACCCATGCATCAGTTTCTTCAAGCAGCATTATTTTCTTCAAGAAGATTCATGATTTTCTGTTTCATTTCTTCAGCAACACATTAGTCATTCAGTAGCATGTTATTTAACTTCATGGCATTTTTAATTTCTTTTTGTTTCTTCCTGCTGTTGATTTTGTGTTTGTGAGTTTTCATTTAAGGGGATGTATAGCGACTGTGTATTGGAGACTATCATACCCAGAAGCATGTCATTGCACTTTATGGCATTGTAAATTTCTATTTTTCTTCCTGTTAATGATTTTATAATGTGGCTTTTCTTTTAAGGGGACTGATAGTAACCATGCAATGTAGACTATTATATCCAGATATTTGGATGCAAGACAGTATGGCATCTCTACTTCCAGATCAAAGATGGACCTCCAATGAAACTGTTTATTATATATCGATAGTAAGATACTGGACTCTCTGCCATTTTCCATGTCCCAAATGATGCGATTCAAAAATTACCATTGTCGTCTTTCCCCGCCCAGCACAATCAGCAAAGAAAAAGTAAAAAGCAGAGCTCAGAAGTTTGCACTTGATGATGATATTCCCACTTGTCTAAGAAGACCAAAGAAAAAGTAGCAATGAATCTTGGGAATTTGATGTCATGAATAGCAAATCTCAAGAAAGTATCGCTACAGGAAATTAGAAAAATGGCCAGTGAACTTGATCATTTGAAACGTACAAAGTCTGATAGACCTGCAGCAGCCTTTATTTTTCCTTATGCTCTGCAGCCATCCCCTCCTCCCTCTCCCTGGTTGTGGCCATCACTGTCACTTCTGATTTCCTGAGCATGATGGACTTGGGAAAGTTCACGTTGGACACACATTATGATTCTAACACATTATGATTCTAACACATTATGATTCTAAAGAGGAGAACATAGGGTAGGGGAGAGAATTTGGAGAGGAGGAGGGGGAGCCCACTGCCAACTAAATCATATCAAAAAACAAGAAAAACTATGGAAAATATTTGAGTGATAACCTTATGTCAATAATTAAACCTAATCTGTATTTTTTTTCATATACGGAGATTCACTGTTGTTCCCTACAGTCCTAAAGCTTTTGCCACAGTGTAAAAAAATGGTGCCTGACGTACCACTACTACAGTTCCTGATCTGCTTGCTGGCCATCAGATATGAGGGCTACCCAGACCTGTCTTGTGTGGAACCTGTAGAATGACACGTTTCTGCAGTTCACTGACTCAGAAATTAGTTCACTCCCAGCTCAGCCTATGTTCATTCCTTTCCCTTGCCTTTGCAAAATGTCACTCAATTCAGCTCTAGGTGGCTGACTGGGCTGTGAAATCCACCCTGTTCTAACACTGCCTGTATTGAATCTGTGGCTCTGTCTCTGCTCCTGGTCAAATCAAACAGACCAGCAGGATGGACAGTTCTTTGTCTGGGTTCACATCCCAAGCTCCCACTGAAAGTCCCTTCCCACCTGGTTGCTGGTGGAGTTCTGGCTGCTGGTGGAGTTCAGATTCCCGTTAGCTGAATGCCACTGCAGTATCAGTCACAGCAACACCACACCGTTTTGCTTTCCTGTGTCTGTCAGTCTCCAGGTACGCCTCTGTTGTCGTTCTGTCCTCTACTATTTCCTGGAATGTGCCCTCTCTGCTTCATCCTGATTAAATGGTTTTCCGTCCATTTAAATGTGGCCTTATCCTATTCTGCCATCTCCATGTAAGGGGATTCTATACCTAACATTTATCTAACTTCTAATATAGATATTAAGCCTTTTTGGAAGCCCAAAATTTCAAGTTTCAAGTTTAGGTCTTTTGTATTTCATGTGGGACCTCTTGGAAATATCAAAGGATTTAGACAATTTGTAGAGACATAGACTGACCAGATGATTTGGGTTTTATTAAAGATATTGTCAAATGCTAAGTGGTAAAGTTTTGCTATCTCAAAATGCTACTACTACAGATGTCTAATTAGATTTTGTGTATTTTCAAGAGTTTCAGAACAGAGGAAGCTTAACATGAGTAAAATGAAGGACAAAAAGCCCTGAGTGGCCACAATGTATTTAACACATCCCAACTGCTGATCCTGGATTCCTGGGTCACAGGATTTGCACTGACTGCCTATAAGCAGGGAAATCAACATCTGATCTCCTTCTCTTTGAGTGCTCATCTGGGACTCTGGAGAGCTGGACACAGCACAACGTCATGAGTCAGGATCCGTATGAGACATCATTACAAGCCATCAGGTTTCTGAATGGTGTGAGAGTGGTGGTCACTTGTCTGTGTTGCTGTCTATGTTTCTGTAAAAACTATTTGACTCTACAGGTGTGGTGCAGAGATAACAACTATTAATCAAATCTCCATTCTTACAGTTCTGTAATGTGTATTTTACAAAAATAAAAAACGGTGTTGCTTACTGTAACACTACGTGCCCTCTATACTCCTTGGGATGAAATAAGGAATGACTTCCTCATAAATTATCTCTATACCACTATTTTAGTCAGTGTTATTTTAAAAAATTTAAATTGTTAACATACATTACTAATCAAAAAAATATTGTAATGGGCCTGGTGCGGTGGTGGCGCAAGTGGTTAAGGTCCTCGCCTTGCACGCCCGGGATCCCATATGGGCGCCAGTTCTAATCCCGGCAGCCCTGCTTCCCATCCAGATCCCCACTTGTGGCCTGGGAAAGCAGTCGAGGATGGCCCAAAGCTTTGGGACCCTGCACCCACATGGGAGACCAAGAAGAGGCTCCTGGCTTCGGATCGGCATAGCATCGACCGTTGTGCTCACTTGGGGAGTGAATCATTGGATGGAAGATCTTCCTCTCTGTGTCTCCTCTCTGTATATCCACCTTTCCAATAAAAATAAAATAAATCTTTAAAAAAATATTGTACTTTTTAAGTACTATTAAATGTATTTTAGAGTTTTCTATAACAAAGCATTATTTAAAAACAGATGTGCTCATCTAATGTATATTTTCTAAGTCATCTTAGAACAGTTAAATATAAGTTGGACAAAGGTAAGAAACAATTGGGGTCCTTTCAAATACCATGTAAGGTAACAGGTGCCTCTTTTTGTTTACAGAGGTGTGTGTTTCCAGACATGACTATCTGAAATTTGACTGTTGAAAATCTTTCTTGAAATTCAGTTTTATGTTCTATTCTACATACATTTATAAAATATGTTTTAAAAAGAATGGCAAACTTACGTTAATAAAAATAAAAAGCAATTCTAATCAATTACTGTGGGTAATCCACTGTGGGTCCAGCTAGAGGAGCTTATAGTAGACTGGATGTGTAGGGAAGTTGAGGACACTTCACTTTGTGTGGGGAAGGATGCTGAATTAGGAGTTGATGGGAGCTTAAGGGAAGATCAAAGATGAGTGAGTGTGTTTGGAGCACTAGGAAGCCTCTCTATTTGATGCATACCAATGATTTCTGGATTTCCAGCTTTTGATGAGACTTCCATAGGCCTGTATCTGTGCAGGATGTGGACCCTGTCCAGGTCATGGTCCTTTATCATGCACAAACATGAGATGATGTGAGTGAGGTGGAGCAGTGGACTTATACAGAATTGTCCTAAGCAGAGTAGGGCTTCAATGTGGATGACTTTGACAGCCATTGTCCCTGCTTCCAAGTAGGGTCCAGAGGTAGTTCTGTAGGGGAACAGCATGAAGATGGCAGTCCTGTAGCCACAAAGCTGTGAGGTAGCTAATCTTGTGGAAGCATGTTCCCAGTTGGCACCAATGACTTTAAAGTAGCTTGGTCCCCATGGTTAGCCCCATTTACTGATATGTCCCTTCTCTGCCAGTACCACACTCATCGAACGTCTGCCTCTGGGAGAGGTTATTGGTATTTCAAAATATTCACACTGCTCCTTTTTCCAGCTTTATGCTCCCTGAATTTCAATAAAATATAGTTCATTGTGGCCCAGGGTGCTGAGTCTGATTCATTAAGCACTGTTTCAATTCCATGGGTCATGACAACCTTAACCCACTCCAAGCAAACAGAGGATGCTATCTGGATAGGTATAGGGATTGCCTCTCCAGGGATACAGACAGACTTGCCCATGTTTCATAAGGGAGCATTTCCTATTGGTAAGGCCAAGTTAGACAAAGCCCAGCAAAAGTTTTTCAGGGCCGCATCAGAATGACCTAATGTCGGGGACACAGGATCTAAGGTCACACAGGATAATTGACCTCCCATGTGTGTTTCCTGTGCAGCCTCAGTGACCTCATCTGTGTCAGGGGATGCCATTGTCTGTAAGAGGACAGAAATGCATGCACTACAACTCCCTGCACACACTGAGAACCCGCAGCTCCCAGGATGAGGTGGACTCAATGGCCTCACAAGGGCAGGAATGACTTCTTTCCTCAAGTGATATATGTAATTGGACACAGCAGCCATCACAGTCCCTGTCCTGTGCTCAATGATGGCATGTTGGCATAAGCACTGGGATTCATCCAGTGGCCAAGGCATTTGTGTCAAATGCACATTGCATCAAGGGAAACTAGTCTGACTCTCAGGGTGACCATTGTGGCCTGCTTTGAGTGGCCTGAGATGGAGTACTTCTGGCTGAAAAGCATTTGGTACATAAGGATCCCAACACAGTGACCCCCAGCGCAGTGACCACACCCTTCTCTGAGTACCTGGGATCTGTGTGTTCCCTGGGCAGGCATGGCTCACCATGCCTTCCTTAAGAGGAAGCCACTATTATCATCCCTTGTTAAAAGATGAAGTGCAAAGCCCAGTGTGCAAAGTAGCTTGGAGAAGAAGACTCAGGAATTTGTCCCTTTCTTTCAGAGGTAACAATCCTGGAGAGTTACTGTGTGGGAATCTCAGCAGCTCCACACCAGCCGTGGTGTGTGCCAAGAAGGAGCATGTGGACAATAAGGAAGCCTACAGGGTCATGTATCTGGTAATAGTAATAGCATTGATAAGCCAGCTTAGTTATCATTCCCATGAGCTTTCCTGCTGGGAATGCTCCAGAACACCATCAGTCCGCACTGTGATATCTTTAACCTTCAAGGGTTATGCATGGAAGCTTTGAGCATTTTTTGTTTGTTTGTTTGGTGCGTCATAACGGTTTCAGCTGCCTTGAAGTGAGGGTATCTATGCAAATGTGCACCCCACACTGACCTGGGCTGCAGGTGAAAATTTGGATCTGACTCAGTAGGGATGTGAACACCCAGGTCAGCCAAAGCCCGCAGAGTGTCATCTCAAGTTCTAAATCCTGATGTGTCTGCTGGTAGGAGCTCCTGAATCCTACCCCCCCCCCAATAGGTCAACCCACCCAGAATGGGTGTGGAAAGCTACAATTTCCAGGGGAGCAGGATGCTGCAGTCTGAATGGGTTTGATGAGATTTTAAGTTTTATTTCTATGTTGCCTAAGAATGAGGGAGCGTCTTTGTATGATAGAAAGAATTTTCAAAGTACAAAAATAAATATCAAAATATATCACCTTATCCATTTCTCTAGCCCATATTATGTTATCTGGATAAGTTAAAATTTCTCTTGTGTTTATTATGTCACAGCCATTATCTTCTCTGTTGTATGCCAAGGGTTGGCCTTTGGCCACCTCACATCAGCGATTTCACATCATGAAATAACTTCTCTTTTAAGATATATTTCTTTTTGTTGGTAAGGCAGATTTGCAGAGTGAAAGAGACAGAAAGATTTTCCATCCATTGTTTCACTCTCCAAATGTCCGTAACAGCTGGAACTGATGATTTGATCTGAAGCCAGCAACCAGG